AAAGGTTTACTTTTTAGAAATAAACGTTTATTTAAATATGGCGAAATAAAATTGTACTCCTAGTAAATAAACCAATTAATAAAAAACTTAGATATCTTTCACAAAAATATATATTCTGTTGTCATAGCCAAATCTATTTCCAACCAATAAATATGGAGGAAAATGTCGTAAGAGACATTTATTTCGCAAAATTTCAATTTCTTTCTCTGTACTGAATGTATGAGGGACATTTTAAGGTACGTACTTCGAATTTGGAGGTGCCACGCGGTACGTGCCTCCAGATATGGAAGTATTATCGCAAAGTACGTTATATAATTACCGTAATTAATTGATATCATTTATCGCGAATCTGAGAATTGCGACATGCGGAAGTTTCGACTATATAATTTTGTCGGAAGAATCTCGAGGTCAACAAAATCGATTCCTGATTTTCAGGACGCCTTGTACTCTCTCGCTCATGCGCTGTATATCGTTCTCGTGTTCGACGCTGCACTCGTCGGTTAACGATGGGATGATTATAACTCGCGGAATTAGCGAGTATTCCGCGGCGCGTCTCGATGGCCGTTTCTTATTTGCATCCTTATGCGTCTCGCTGCGATCAAAACTTAGAACTGCAACGAATGTCGTATATATTCGGAAAATGCCGGCGAGCAGAAAATTATACAGGATACTCGGCAGTTAAAGTCGGCTCCCTCGACGTGTTTACAAGTGATTTTTCCGTAAGCGAACATTCCACGGGAAGCTTAATTACCGGCTGTATTCAACGCTAGGAATTCAAGAGCTGCTACAAGCGATGACCTCGTGCTGAAGTTTCATTAAGAGAAGATCGATTTTACGCTCGTCAGATAACACGTCGCTGACAATTGAACGCGCGCGCACGAAGAAAATACACCGCCTTGCTGTGTGATTTTCGATATATTAGAAATAAAAAAAAATGGTTATTAAAAAATTGATTCCAATAAATAAGTAAATAAATAAATAAATAGTATAATTATATTAATTATAGATAATATTAATATTAATTATAAATTTATTATTTATAATTAATTATAAATAATAAATTAATTTTATTAATTTGATGCCTTTAGTTTGATTCACTTCTAATAAGGATTTTAAATCTAAATATTTCTTCACTCAATTGTGATTTTATAGAGCTACTTTGATTACAAAGCATCATGTAACATCATAAAATGATTAATATAACTTCGAAAAATAATAGTGAGCAATATTGCTATCGATAAAGCGTATATTCGACATTATATTTCATTCTTTTTGCGCTTCAGCTGCAAGAAAAGACTGTTGAAGTTATGAAAATGATATACTCGGCTATTAGCAAAGGTGCGGTGAGTCATACAACTTGTGAAAAATAGTATCAGAGGTTTCAAGAAGATTTGGAGGAAGTCTGCTCCATAACAACGCTCGGCATCGCGTGACAAGAGAAATAACGAACACCGTTTTTAATATGGGTTGAAAAGTAAGCAGTGACTCGCGTCAAAATTGAGATTTCGAGACAGGCAATCAGCATCGCGGAAAGAGACTCCAACATTTCGATACTTTTCAAGACATTTCATAATACGCCTTTTTATAAGCGGGCAGAGGCTGTTTATTAATATCTATCGACTTTACTCAAAATCACCGAGTTTCTACCGCGATGGAATTTCGACAGCTTCCCGGTAGACGATGTAGAGATAATAATAGATCGATAATAATAGAGATCATTTCGTTAATTGAAATTGCACAACTCCCATTGATAAATAAATCTCGATTTTTGGTAACGAAAGCATCGAGTTAAATTACACACCTAGTTTACTTAAAAATTGAGCTAAATGATTTATCGATACCCCCTTCCCCCTTCCAATATATCCATATATTCCGATTATCGAATTCAAGCCAAGGCATCGTCAGATGCAATGCAGCACCGGTCGATCCTCTTGATTTATCGTTCGAAAATTTCCTTGCACCACCTCGAGAAAGCCCACCTTTAATCTCCTCCTTCGATCCTCCTCCTCCTTTCCCTCCTTTCTCGATCCCGCCGACTTTTTCTTCCTTCTCGTGCGCGCGAACGATTCGAGTTCTCGAGTACGCGAATAATTGCACCTCCTCCTTTTGCTCTCGCGCGGACGTTCGATTAACGGCCAGTTAGGCCGGTGTATTTTTACGAAGGATCTACCCGGCTACGGGGAGGACGAGGAAAGGGGCGCGGGAACCACCGTGTGGGATGCCGTTCGCTCGATCTTAATTGCACGCACATTAATCGACGCACGACAGCGCGCGTACGTGGGTCGCAGGTGCGCGCATAAATTTCTTTCGGATAGTCTTGCAGCTTCCTGCGCGCATTTCCGCTTGTTGCGCCGGAAAGGGCCCCGCATTTGTCGAAATGTTTGCGATTATATTGCAACGCGCCGGCTCGGCCGGGATAAATGGGTATTATCGGTATCAGTGAGGTACACGCGTGTATCGTTGAGCGCCTCGAAAATTTAAACTGTTAAACGCGCGGCGCCGCGATACGTACGTGACATTGAAGTGTTCGTTATTCAAATATTTATCCATTTTGGCTGACTTCTCGTATCTAGATCATTTTCGCCGTGACCGCGAGACCATTTTCTTGTTTCGAGTGCAATCACGACTACGTCGTGGGATCAATTCAAAACCGTGTCGAGATGGACGGAACACACCGAGAAGTGTATAATTGGACCAATTAGACCCCGTCGTTGATGGCCCGTAAATATGTTTGAACTCAGCCGCCCCTTCCGCCTCCTTTTACGGCCTTCTTTTCTCGGTACACGGTCGGGAATAATTCATCGACGCGAGCGTGCGGGGCGTCCGGCGTAATTACTTTAATCGCATCCTGCTCGTTACAACATTATGATGAAGTTATTGCTCGCGCCACTCAGCGCAGGAGAAGAAAGGACTCCTTTTCGCGGCATGATTTCTGCTCTCCCGTTTCGCGACACGCGATCCGACACGAGATGAAAGGATCCCCGCTGTTGAAAAAAAGGAAAATACTACGATAAACATTTTCTCGACACGACACGGAAGACAGGAAGCGAAGGAAGGAAGGATGGGCGAGGTAAAGAGAAAGAGACTCTTTAATCGTTTAATTGGCAGCGGTTAGTTTTCCGCGGCGGTTCTTCAGAAACGTAGTTAGGATTTTCCGCGGGGAGCATTCGGGGTCCAAACAATTTAACGAAATTTATGCAGGACAAAGCCGCTTTGGAAAGTTAGGTGAACATTCCGACGTTGAATCGGTTCCCCGATGTAAATCAACATTTTTAACTCGATATAACTTCGGAGTTTGCTTAATCGAATGAGAGGGATGTAATTTGAGCGACGGGGGCGGAGCGGCGGGGGAATTAGCGATGAACGAGGTTAACGCTTGTATTAATTTAGGGGCAACATCCGGCCTGGGAAGTTCTCGTTTACTTGCGTGATAAGCGGCCGATTCGGGGAACGGTAGTTCACGTTGTCACGCCCGTGCCGAATGTATCTGAGAAGCACACAGATTACTAGGTGAATGATCACTAGGTGAAAGGTCACCGAATTAACGTGCATCGATGCACATGCATGACAAACCATATCACCGGTTGCAGATTTGACGCCAAAAGTAGCCGTGCTGAATCGTCGGGCTGAAATAACATCACGCCCGATCTTTATATAACATAAATTCGAGAATCTCGAACGGTGACATAGAAAATGAGCGTGTATATGGTCCGACGAATTAAATTTTCTTAATAATCTAATGTAATAATCTCACTAATACGCGTTTCTCGAAATTTCACATTACAAGAATTTGAATATATAACAAAATGGACCTATAACTGATATATTATTGTGTTGGCAATGAAAATTTAGTTTAGATGAAAATTTTGTTCAGATTTTGTCGGAATATTAAAATTATGCGTGCTCTTATTAGCCAAATGGGTTTATTATATGTCAAGCGACGAAAATAAGAGAAGACCGAGTTTATTTTGGTGTTTGTCGAAACAGTTCGTCTTCTCGGAGTCTTTCTTTCCGGCTGTGTTTACAGCAATTGTCTCGATAATAAGCTCTCAGAAGCCACGCGATAACATTCTCATGTTCCATTTCTATCATCGCTGAACTCATTAGAAGTGACGCAGACCAGATATATCATATGATAATTTTTGTTTCTGTTTGATAAAGCCTCAACTGCCGTTTCGGACAAACAAGTTTTTATCTGTTTTAACCGAAATAATTGTCGCTGATATGTTTCAAATAAATATGTATACAATATATTATACTAATAAGCTACAATTATAAATAATAATAAATAACAAGCTAAAAATAGAGGAAAAACATATTATTTTGAATTTGTTTAATTATATAAATTAACAATTAGTCGTAGTATATTTTAATATTTTTACTATTTAATGTCTTTAATATCTTTACCAATGTGCAATAATTAACATCAGTAATCTATTGTTCTCATATTATTATGTAAAAAAGTGTTAAGAGTTATTATTCGTTATTTCGGATATTAGAAAAAAAAAACTTTTTAGATATTTAGTTCACAATTTAACATGTAATATATTTAATATATTTATTTGATGTATTTAAATGATTTTTAAATATATCAAATAATTTATAACAATAAACATATCATTAATACTTATGAAGGGAATGGCACGTATTTGGAAAGAGACTCAGATCAGTAAATATCTGTTATTTTTGTATATTTTTCTTTATTCCCCTATGTCGAGTTTATTCGTAACATTCTTTAGGATAACGTATATTCACGGTTTGATACCTCCTAATCTCCAATTAGAATTCAAACTGTCAACAATTCTCAAGATAGACAGAAATCCTTGTAAACACTTTATTAGTGTCCTCTGTACAACCGCCGAGTCGACATCTATGACATCTACTGCTGGTGAGAATTTGAATATTTTCATTAATATAAATTATGATTTTGTGCGATATTTCTATATTAATATGACATACGAAGTGTTCTTTTTACATTAGTTGCACACTAGCATACAGATATGGACGAAATATTACTAATAAACGAAGGACTTCGTGTCGGTTTGGACGTTGATTACAATGAGTTTTTCCATCCGAACGTTTGTCACGTATGCAAGTGGACGAACCAAAACTTGTTAACATATTGCGACCGATGTTACATGATCTCTTACTGCAGCGAGGACCATAAAATGCAGGACAAGCCGTACCACGCCGACCTTTGCGCAATTATAGCAGATTTCCAAAATGACGATCCACGTTTCTTCAATAGGAGTTATAGCGACAAGAATTGGATGCGAACGCGGGAGGAACTTATACGAAAAGTCAGGGTATTACTGGAACGTGAACTAAGGCCGCATGAAGTGCAAATGTTCATGAACCCGAGGAAGTGTTTCGAGTGTCATCAACGGATCGTTCACGTCGTGTGTCCGAAATGTCTTTCCGTTAGCTATTGCCTTTCTCACAAGCACAAATTTAACTCGCACCTCGAGACGGAGTGCACTTTCTTCGCAATCAGTCTCATCATAGATATTAAGTTTCTTGAACAATCGGTATGGGAATCAGTACGCGTCGATTTCTCCACATTTCCCGATAAAAGAAAGCATTTCAACGACATAGAATCATTTTGTAATCAATATTACTCGAAAAAGAAGGAACATACAAACTGGGATATTAATAAACTCGTCTTTAGCGATTACGTGTCTGATCCGTTGACCGTATACAATGGATTGCAGTCTGCAAAGTTGTTTTATCCGGAAAAGATAACGGGTACCTTCGTTATTCATATTATTAGCGCGACCGATATAGAAAGGCGATATTTCCCAGCCTGGGAACTTTTCTTACATTTCTTGAGTGCAAAGACAAAATTGGTAATTGTAATGTTAGGGTTAGAATTACAGCACGAAATTAAGGAACACAACATTTGTTCTTGTTGCGAAGAAGCTGAGAAACGATTAATTTTTGAATCTTTTCCTTTATTGTACCACAATTACATGTACAGTACTAAGTATAGACGACCAAATGTGATCGTAGGATTTCAAGCACGGTTTCATTATGGGAAGACATGGTCGGAATCTATAAGAGCAATACAGTCTCAGAATTGTCCCTTACTTTTAACCGCTATATTGGAAAATATAACAGAAGATAACGTAACTGAGATAAGAAGAGTTCTGGGCGATTCCGTAACTCCTGTCCTTCATGTCGACTGTAAAAATAAATTTACTTCTTGTAGACCGTACAGGGAAGTGTTTGGCAGTCTAATGTTTCGTAACTCACAATTAATTATTTACAAAAATTTAAATCACTGAAACTTAACGATCTGAGCAAGCAGCAGCTCTGAGATTATAACTAATTTTAAATATTGTTGATTATATTAAAATATTATATATTAGTAAATAAGATAACATTTATTTCTTTTTATTTATAAGATTGTTATTTATAAGATATATTTATAAAATAGCATATATAACATTTTATATATAAATATATAAATATATATAAATATAAATAAATAAATATATATATATATATTATATATATTATATATATATTTTTATATAAATATATTATATATATTTTTTATATATATAAATATAAATATATGATATATTAAATATGATGTCTCTCGATCAACATAATAATATTAGCACATTTTAGTATTACTGTAAACAATATATAAGGCTGGTTATATTTATGGGACAAATTTGCAAATGACTTTAATAAAGAATGTTTTTGATGATAATACTAGTACTGATATCGCATTCAACAGTTAAATCATCTCTATAAATTGCCCTGTCCCGTGTAATTATCTCGCGTACTCGATCTTGAAATATAAATTAAATAGGGTATTGTTAGCAAATGCACGCAAATGTTAGAATGTCCCGCTCCGGCTGGATCTGCCCAGCGCGGGGCACGGAATGCAGTGAAGGATCGGTGTCAGGAAAATAGTTAGGAAATCGATTGCAGTTAAAGCAATGGTTTATTCAGTCACTGAGACGAGGCAGAGTGGCAATCTGGCCCTTACAATTCAAGGCGTGAGGAGACGTTTTCAGGCTTGTCGAACAATCGTGTTCAGAACTCGCTCGAACGGCCTTCCTGGGCGCCCGCCAGTGCCGAATTCTTCGCAGCGTTCAATGATCAGAATGGCCTTCTTTTTCTTGTTGTCCGTCACGCGCAACCACCGTTGTAGGACGCAACACGATTTTAATTCGACGCTTACGACGTACAAAATGACAAATATAATTTATATTGATTACCGGAAGATCTCTCGCGAGGTAGTCGCGAGGATGCGGATGATATATCGCAACGCGATGATTTGAGATAGTGAGTCTTGAGTTCTCGCACGGAGTGTAGATGAAACTATAGCGAGCCGAGAAAAGCGAATAATTAGAATCGACTAAATTGCTTTAACTTCTTTGTGCTCACTTCTGATTCGTCGCGCCGAAGACATCCAGTTTTTTAAGGTTATTGGTGCCAAGCGGAACGAGCTTATTGGTTATCCTTCGATCGGATGAAGCATTAGACAATGTCCAAATATGGTAATGTTCGTGATCTAAATCGGCGAGTCTTTTAATCTTATTATTTAGATTCTTATTATTAGGCTTTTCTTGTAATAGACACAATATATGTCGAGTGTTTATCCGCTTTTGTATCGCAAGTCTCCTTTTGTTATCGGTTGTCAATCCTCATGTTATTGTGTCGAGAAAGCAACTCGATTCTCGTCTCATGCTCGTTTCACACGTTATGAGCATGATAAATTTAACTCTCTTTGGTTAGCTAGTGAAAGTTAGAATTTTGAACAATAACGCATAACCAAGATGCGAAAAGAAGTGGGTATCTCGAAAAGACTTTTTCTTTAAACCGAGAATAAATCTGTTTTTATAGATAATATAGAGATATTGAGATATAATTAATTTGATTAAGTTAAACTAAATGAAAACTAACTAATTAAAAGTTGAGTTAAAATTAAATTAACTTAAAGTTAAATTAAAAATTTAATTATGCAAAACTACACACACACACACACACACAGAGTTGAGAAGAAAGATAGGTTAGGTTTATATACACACACACATATATATATATATATATATATATATATAGTCTTGCATAATTAATTTTTAACTTCTGGTTTAAATTAATTTATCTAATTCTGCATGTATCGTAATATTAACTTAATTATAGTATATATATGAATTTTAACAATTCACGCAGCCACACCGATTTAACAGTATAAAATCCAACTGCTGATTGCATCGTTAAATGATTATTCGTAGTTTGATAACCGATAATTCGTAGTTAAATTAATCGCCGCTTGGATTTCGCATTGTTAGTATCCGAGAAGTGCGGAAACTCCTGTAAATGTAAATACATTTTCAGTGCTCCCCGAGCAGTCATTGGGTCGACATGTAGATTGCGTACACAGAGCGCTATTATCTCCTCTAAAGTGCTGAGTTTCGCATACTATTTCTAAATTAATCTTACAAATAACGTGTTGCTCCTAAAAGACATTCAATTACACAGATCTATTAGTGTTCAACATTTAACAATGAACAGACAACAGCTGTATACGTGTGATAATTTCTTTTATCCAAACGTATGTCACGTTTGCAAGTTACGAGACAATGGCAATTTGATATCGTGTTCTAAGTGTGGCGTAATTTCGTACTGCAGCGTCGGGCACATGCAGCAACACCGAGGGCGACATGAAGACGTTTGTCGAGTTGTTGCAAAAATACTAACAAATATGAATCAATGGGACACTCGTAATTTCCCGATAACCACTTTCAATGACACGAAGTACGAAATTATAAAAAAAATGAAGAAAGAATTGCAACGTAAACTGAAAGTGTGCGAAAAGCAAATGATCATGCACGCAAAATCGTGTCTGATCTGTAACAGACGCGACAGTTTGCGCACCTGTATGGGCTGCTTTACCAGCAATTATTGCAACGATCACGAAGTACAGTTTCAAAAGTCCCACGAAGCCGACTGCAAAGAATTGAAGCTTTGTCTCGATCTGGACCTAAACTTACTTCAAGAAAGTTTTACTCAGTTTCAGATACCGAATATCAAGAGCTTTCCTAACGTGCAAATACCTATTTTAAAAATGGACGATTTTGTCACTCAATATATGAAAAGAGGGAGATTAGGGGTGGATTGGACCTATGACCATTATTATTACTCCGATTGGATGTCAGGACCGCTAACACTTTTCTTCGGTTTGAAAGATACACTTTTGCTACCAGAAGCGAAGAGTAATGTTTACACCGTTCATATCATAAACTCGTACCATGTAGATAGAATTTACTTTCAAACTTGGGAACTTCTGTTACATCTTTTACCTCACATAAAGATATTGACGATTGTAATGGTAGAACCAGGGATAGAGTATATAAAACGCAAATGTAAAACTTGTATACATTGTTTCCTAGATTCCAGAGAGCTTCATTTCGAATGCTACTCCATGTTTTATGAAATCTATGCGAGCGATTCTATGTACAAGAAACCAAACGTGATTGTAGCATTTGAAGTGAATAAAGGTAATTATAACGTGGTATCGGTAAATCTCATAAGAGCGATACGTGCTCGAACGTGTCCGTTATTTTTAACTGTTATGTCGTCAAAAATATCACACTATGTCAAAAAGAAGATGAAGGAGGACATGTCTCCACTTGTAGTACCAGTTCATAATTTCAGCAACAGATTTAGCAGTCGTAGGCCATACAGAGATATGTCGTATCAAAATGGTCTACACGTAGCTTACCGTAATAAGTACGTTATTATCTGTGCAGCCTTAAAATCTGCATTGGAACTACCACAAGCATCTGTCAGCTCTTCTCAATGATTGTGTCATTTCTTTTTTCGGCGTCATTATTCCAGATATGACGCAATTTCTCAGTATGAGTTATGAAAGTTTTTAATAAAGCGCACATTTGATAACAGTTACATTGTTTTTTAGTAAGCATATATTTACCATTGACGTACATATGAAAGACAAATAATTTCTGTACATTTTATAAGTAATACTTTTGTAATTTATTGCGAGACAAGGCGATATAGTAGCGATCTTTTATTAATAGAGAACGTAAAACGTCAATAGAAATTGTTCTTTTCAATTTTGAAAACTCAAATATCTACTTAAATTATTTTACTATGCGGCGTTTGTAATCTCTCTCTCTCTCTCTCTCTCTCTCTCTCTCTCTCTTTCTCTGTGTGTATGTGTATATTATATAGTTAAAATGCATGTATTAATATAAATTTTGATAAATATATGAAATCATATTTCTTTCCCCGTACATTTCGAATTTATTTGCGATTTTTTACTTGGTTACGTTTACTCGTAGATCGCTGAATTTTCTGTTAAAGTTCGAACTATTAGCAATACCCGGGAAAACTTGTAAACACTTTCTCAGTGTTCCCCAATCATATTCAATCTGACCTCATTTTGTATTCACAATCAAGTCAAGACAAGTGATGGACAAGAATAGATACAGATTAACATAATTAATAAGTTTCTAAAATCGTACGCCTCTCTCCGTACGCTTCGAATTTATTTGCGACTTTCTACTTGAAACGATTATTCATAGTCCGTTAAGTAATCGGTTAAATTTCGAACTGTCAGCAGTTGTTTACAAGTTTTTCCGTACCCAAGAAGAACGGAAAAACTTGTAAATACTTTCTTATTGTTCCTCGAACACTAGTTTAATCTATATGTATGTTGCGTATATCGAGTTCTATTATTTCCTCCAAGATACCAAGCTTTGTATATTGTCTTTGAATTGACACTACAAAGAGTGCATTAATTATAAGGACCTAAACGTCAATTATAAGGACCCATTAGTGTGAACACACGTATAATATGAGTGAACAACAGCGGATTGCGTGTGAGAATTGTTTTCCGCCCAAATGTTTGTCATGTTTGCAAGATGCTGGATAATCGGTTAGCCTGAAACGAATGAATTTCCGCTCTGGTTGATCTTTCAAAAGGAGGAGGCGGCGTCTTTCGGTCGTCGTTAGCCGAGAGGTCAGGTCAGGTGGATCTTAACCGCTTAACCGGGGCTTTTACGGCAAGTCAGCGGCAACGCTCGCGAGATACGCGCTTGTTGCTCCGCCGGGTTTTTGCGCAATTAGCATAATTATCGGGCCACTTCGCGATCGAATCGACGGAGCGTGGAGAAATGTCGGGGGCGGCGCGGGGAGGCGCGTAAAATCGCGGGGCCCGCTGTTAATGCGCGGACCGCGGATCACAGCTGCGGCCGCGATAAGATCTTGCAGCGGCGCGGACGACCGAAGTCGTCAAAAGTCGAAACGAGCCTCTCGTTTATCCATCAGGCCATCTTGCCTCCGGCCCGACCGGCTCCGCACGGACCGGCACGCTAATCGCGCGGAGTCCCTCTACGACCCGCCATTTCGCCGGGGATTACTGCCATTCCTCGTGGCCGAGAGGAAGATGCGATGCCTGGATAGGCATCGTTCGTTCCGTTGGCCGGACTTTTATTTTAACACTCCTTCCTTAGGAGCGCGAACGATTAAAATCTAACGATTTTTTCTTCCCGCCGTGCGTCGAATGAGGAGGAGCGAATCGTTGCTCGCGTATACGTTAAAAGCTGAGAAGAGTCCGTCCCTGTCCTTCCCTTTCTTGCTTTTTTTCTTTTTTTCTTTTTCATTTTAGGCACACGGTGTTTGCAATTAAGAGAGAGAAGACGGTTTTGCAATCCGTCACGCATCACGGAAATACAGATGCATGATGAAAATAATGACACATTATTGCGGGTGCGTTTGATTCTCTTCTCGCAAGAATTTCAAGTGGGTCCGATATCATCGAGAAATTTGACGATAATCCTTCATTGGTGTAATGCGCGGTGATAAATTGCATAATAATGAAATCCTATATTAACTGAAAAATGATGGCCACGTTATAATCAGCAATTTGTGTTTGAATTATAATATTGAGCGACCGTCAAAAAGTATTCCCGAGTAAAAACCCCGTCGAGATTAAAATTAATTATTTAATTACAGTTCTCTTGGACACGAATAATTTACTTGGTCCGGAACATAAGTACACATAAAAAGGTATCCTGGAATATATATATATATATATATATATATATATATATATATATTCCATTTAAATCAAAGAAATTTTAGAGAGATTAAAATAAATAAATATATAATAATAAATTATATATATTTATTTATTTTAATCTCTCTAAAATTTCTTTATATATAATAATTAAATATATATATATCCCGGGATATGTATATGAAATTTATCTACGCGAGTTGCCATCACGCGCGGTGATGCGGTCGACATAAATTTCTCATGCGTCTAAAATAGCCGCGAATTCATTTGGATTAAAGAGAGCTTCTAAAAATGGATTGATTCTTTCCTAATTGATGGATATAAAATATGCGCGTTAAATCAGAAATCCATCATGAATTCGTAATTGAATTATATTCCTGTTGTGTTTCTTCATTGCGCTCGACCAGACAAATATAAAGGCCGCGTTATTAAGATTTAAATTAAATTAGATTAAGATTGAAAATTACTCATTAAGATTTAAAAAGAAACGAAGAGAAGTAGCGTGTACAACAATATTGTCGACATAATTCAGTGTTTCGCGTTTCGAGAAGTTAACGTTCATGTGTATCGTAACACGGACTTTATCGCGACAAAACCACATTGCAAATAGACTTTGCATTCTAACGAGATTAACACGTCGACTGTCATTATGTCATTTTTCATAGATTACTGTTTCGAAATTTAATTAAAATTTGAGTTAACCGGTTATGATGAACGCATATAACTCTTTTGATGACATATATTTGTTATTTAGTTTTATTGGCTTTATCGGCCGCAATTTAATTCGTGCAATTAGTGTGCCTGAGAATTTGTATAAATTAATTAAACGTTACGCTAAAAGCATGACTAAAACATAAAAAAAAATATCTAAAAAATTAATATAACCATGAATATCTAAAAAATTAATATGATAAATAAAAAATTTTTATTCGATGGGTACTAGTAGTTTATTTATTTAAATCTCTCTAAAATTTCTTTGATTTAAATAGAATAAACAGTTGCTTTCATGCAATATTACTTAAGAAAGTGCGTGTACTTTCCCATTTGAAAATACATTTTCTTAATGCAAAAGCATGTACATGGTATATATGTAATACATAAATAAATATATTATTACCCATTGAATAAATATTTTTTCGATATCTTTTTTCTCAATGCGCAACACATGACTTTGACGTGTTGGTCCGCGACTTGGACGCGCCCGAGCTCTTGCGGGAGCGGACGACGCAATTCGATTGTTTACGCGAGCATCATCGACCGGGAGCGGGAAAATTCAGCCGAGTCATCGGGAACTCAGCCGGGCGAGATTAACCGAACTCCCCGTTCGTCCTACATTCGGCCGTATTAAAGCGCTTCTTCGTGTGTTATCGTCGAAGTTACAGGGGAGCGATGCGGCGCCTCTCGCACGGTTGCGACTCTCACACTTCGAAGCGGCCCGCGTTCGCATCTGTTTAGCAGTCATGCCGGCATAAGCACCTCTCATTATGCGGCGCCGGGCAGTTTCGGGCTGGCCGCATTCGCCCCGGCGAGGAACTTAACGAGGCTACCGCTCGTTCAGTGCCAACCCGGGCAACCGTGAACGAACGAAGCTAAGCCCTTTTATACGCGAGTCGCTCGACCTCTCTTCGTCAAGCCACCCTTACCGGCGATATCAATGCGACGTCGTTGCGGCCTCGTTGTTGCCGAAACTGACTTTAGACTTGACAAGCAAATCGCGGCTAAACGACCAGGTGTCCTCTACCGAGGATTAATTAAATCCCTTACAAAGCACATTCTTATGTTAACAATATTATATTAGCGTAAAGTATAGAAGAAAGGCAGTGAAATCGACATGCCATTTTGCTGTTGGGCCGTAGAGCCCTGTTGAAGGTGCGGAAGTAAAACTCTATGTGCACGATTGAAAGCCAACGGCACTTCTTTATTGAAATACACGAACGTCTTGTGAAAATTATTACATATTTACCTTCGCAAATAACTATCAGGAACGTCTGAAATATTCTCGAGCATCGGCAGCGTTTCGAGCAGCGTTTGTTTCGGGCGCTGCCGGCGTTCAAAAGCGCGTCTATAACTCGGCGGACGAAGTGAAACACGGTCTTCGCCATTATCGACGGCTGCGACCGCCCTCGACTTCCCCCGATCGAAGTTCGTAATCTGTCGAGGCGCCGGGGATGAAAAAGTTGGCGGACTTTTATTCTCGCGCTCGCCCGTCGGTGCTCGCGGCCGTTGTTCGCTTAAGTGACGAAGCCTTAAAGACAAGTTAAAGCCTATTTGCCGCTGTCAGATGCCTGCGGTCGCAACGCCGGTCCAAGTGCCGGAGGCGCGAGCGCCTCGGAGAAAAGTTCGTTTAATTATCGATAAAACCGTCCGGGCGAATATAAGACGTTAATATAACGGAGTCGCGGCGAAGAATGCGAGCGACCACTTCGCCGTCGAGCTTTACGCCTCGCGTCTCCCATCTCGTCTTCCCAACCACCGTCGTCCCCGGAGGGGATTTTACGTCTTCGCGAGAGTTTACGCGACTCTCTCTCTCTCTCTCTCTCTCTCGCGCGGGCATCAGCATATCGTAAAGAGCTGCCGCGTAACACGGTAAATAAGCGCGAGTCTTCGTCTTCGATGGAAGCGTCGACGACGCGCCCTCAATGCGCCCGAATATTCGCGAACGGAGAGGATCGTTGTCGAAGTATGACCGAAGTTTCAGTGGAGACATCTCTCCAATTCGAGTGGAGACATCTCTCCTATTCTCAGAAACTTTTTTCCCTGAC